GACCCAGCTATTCCCCTGCTGGGTATCTTCCCCAAAGAATTAAAAGAATCATACCACAGCGATATATGTGCACCCATGTTTATAGCGACACAGTTTGTAATAGCTAAAGCTTGGAAACAGCCCAAATCCCCATCAACTGGAGACTGGATAAAGAAGATGTGTTTTTTCTATAAAATGGAGTACTACTCAGCCATAAAGAACTAGAAACTAGAGACATTTAGCGCTAGGTGGATGCACATTGAGGCCATACACTTAAGTGAAATAAATAGGACACACATGTGTAAATACCAAATAGTTTCTCTGGTGTGAAAAACTAAAAGTGTAAATAAGGCTCAAAATGTATAATTGATAGGAATGAAATAGGAAGAAAAGGTCTGAAGGAGTAGGAGAGGTGGGAGGGGTAGGGGAAAGAGAAGATGGGAAAAGAAAAAATACAAGAAGAGGAAAAAAATGGAAACAAAGTCTTTGTAAATAGGGAAGGGTGGAGAGGGTGAAGGGAGGGCAAGGGAATGGAGAAAAAATAAGAAGCAAGATACATCATGTAAAGTACAAGATCCCAATGATGAATGTAACTGTATTGTATACCTAAAATGTACCAATAAACTTAATGAAAAAAACCTGTTCCTCCAAAAAGTCCAGTATTAAGAAACTATACAGCATCCTAAAAAATAAAAGATAAATAAAACGTCTGAAAACCAATAGAAACAGAAACAGCTCTGTAGATGATTCAAACACTGGAGTGTCAAACAGATTTTAAAATGACTGTGATCGCTATGTTCAAGAAAATAAAGAGTAGATTGGACAATTTCACTAGAAAACTGGTGAAATTTAAATAATCATAAGAGTCAAGTAAAATTCTACAGCAGAAAAAAGTAAATATTTTAACAGCTGCATTTAGTGAGGTATACATAGCAGAATCTTCCAACCATAGGACATTCTGAGCTCACCATTCACTCCAGGTGTTCTGTATCATTGTCTGTGACAGAAATTAACTTTTAGGTTTCCTCTACATCATGAGCCTAAATAACCAAGTCTTGGTGCCGTTTCTGCTCTACTGACTTTCTTCTAACGATTTCCTTTTGGAAAGTTCATGGGGAGTATAAGTGTCCTCCAATCCTTCAGAGATCTGCCAGGGAATTTCAAACCCCTCTCTTTTCCACTCAAAAATTAAAGACTGAGGGAAGGTGAGCAGGGACCATAACACAGACTTAGATCTTAACTCGTAATTCTTCCTTTTGACTCTCTTCTTCTCCCAAGACAAGGTATTTCTATATCACATTATACTCTTTATTCTGTGGTTAATCTCCAGATCTATTGATCTGAAATGGGTACTGTGGACCTGTTTTAGAAATTAAAAGCTGAACATTTTTATTGTTGTTGTTCTAGGATGCTTTATTTCCTCTCATTGAAGCAATGGCATAAGAATTATTGAGGTTGTGATATATTTCTGCAAGTATGGCTGCAAATGTAAAACATATTTCATAATTTTTAAAAATGTTTTCTGGCTACCCTTTGGTGTATGTTTGCATAGGTCAGTTTTGATGGAAGATACATCATGATAAAATAAATTTAAATATAAATGGTCTGTGCTTGGCTAACTGATAGGTTGTTTCTGGGTTTTTTTCTTTCATTTTCTCATGGAATCTACAGGGGGAAGAATTAAATTACACAGGGCATTTGAATCATGCATCAAGGGAAATCATGCATTAAGGGGTAATCTAAATTATCCAGGTGGGAATCTAAACTATCCAGGTAGAAATCTATGAGCACAGGGTTCTTTTTGAAAGACAATTGTGCTACTTAACTTTAAAAAAAACAAAGCAAAACAACATCCAGTCTGGCCAACAGAACCAACCAAGGTTGGGTGAATGAAGGATATGAATAATTTCTTCAAGAAGACGTGTCATATGGTAACTCACTCCTCCCCTGACCCTGGACTGGGGATTGAGCCCACAGCCTTCACACTGAGCTACGTCACCAGCCCTCTTTTTCAAAGACTTTGAGATCCAGTCTCACTAAGTTCCCAGGCTGGGCTCCAACTTGCCATCCTCTTGCCCCACCGTCTCTCAGTGCTGGGATTGTAGGCATGCTTCTCTGCACCCAAGCTGCAATAACACATTTAAATTGCGTGGTTTTTTTTCATTATTTAGGTGTCCCTAGAAGAAAAATAAATTATTCAGATGCCCATATTTTACGTGGTGAAGGTTTTAGGACTGTTGCAGCAACAGGATATGAAACTGTCACAGCAATGACCGAACTGGCCATAGTAAACCGCCAAATGCATGGAAGAAATGCACTTAATCTTAAGGTATGTCATCTTTTTTTTTTTCCATTTTTTCATTTTCTCATATTAATTCCATTCCTTTCTTTCCTTTATGCCAGATCTTTTTAATGATAATGTTCTGCTATGTTATCAGTTACAATATTTCTACTTTTGGTTTCGCAATGTAGGTTAGTTTTCATGGTATTGAAAGAGTCTTTCCTATTGCAGTAGAGATTTTTTAGGAACACACCAAAATTGCATCTCTAAATCTGTTTTGGTTTGTCTTTAGCCCACCAACTAAGTTTGAAAGATGCCCGGATCTAAAATGGTTACAGTGTTTTTTCATTCTTTGGCATGATAAGAGAGGTGGGATTCAGAAAGATTTTATCATATTTTTAAGCAACTGGCAATCTTTGGACCTGTGTCAAATTTAGTGCTAGGTTAGCTTTTTATTGGATACAAGCCCAGTATGACGAATAATAATAATACTAATCAGCACTTACTAAGCACTCACTGTGTTCCAAGCAAATGCTGCACCTAAATTTACAATTCTGCAAAGTAGGTATTATAATCTTCAATTTATAGACAAAAACACGAATGCTTGATAAAACCAAATTGCAAAAACCACACAGTAAGCAAGTAACAGCTTGGACCCAGAGCTCTTTGGCCTCCAAAGTCTTTGTATTTGATTTATTTTAAAACAAAAACCTTATTGGGACAATTATGAAAGTGCCACATATTAAGCCAAAGCAAAATATGCACTTGTGTTTCTGTTAGGTACAGTAGTAAATCTAAGAACTCTATCTTCTTAGTCAAAACCCTAATCAAGAATAGTTCACCATGTAATGTGTTTTTTACCCCCAGAGTCCCTCTCTGTCAGCATGTGTATGGTTCAGAAGGTTACTGAGTATACTGAATGCTTTTTGAATAATTTGGCAACTGTCTTGGCTATAATAGAAAACACCCTATTGCCTGCCCAAAAATTCAGCTTTCTACCCCTTTTATGGAGGGTTTTTTTCCTTTCATCAATGAGAATTGCAGTTTTCAGGATTTCACCTCTAAGGATTTCAATATTCAGGATTTTAATCTTTCAGTATTGTTATTTTGGGGATTTTGATCTTTGATATCTTACCCTTTAGGGATTTTCATTTTTTAGAATTTCAACACTTGGGAGTTATAGGTTGTGGAATTATGGTTAGCACTGACAAGGAAGCCCCTACAGCTCATATGCAAATTTAGCAAAGTTATAGTATGTAAGATCAACACACAAAATCTGTTGTGTTTCTGTACAGCAGCAAAGAAAATTGAGAAGATAATTTCATTTACACTAGCATCCAACAAAAAAATGGGTGAAACATATTACTAGATAGTTCATTGAAATGCATTACCCTAATACACATGAAAAGCTGCTTGACCTTACACTAAGAGCAATGCATTTTAAGACTACACAGAGAGATTGGGGTGCAGCTCAGTGGTGGAGCACTTGGCTGGCAGGCCAGAGACCCTAAGTCTCATTCCCCAGCACCAAAACACAAAACAAAATGAAACAAATACAAACAAACACAAACCCCACAACCTACATAGTGATATAATTTCTCCCTTTATGGCTTGGGAAAAATTTGATAGTGTATCTTATTGTTGAAGTTGGAATATTGCTGCTAGAAATTAAAAGCAGAGTACCCCTATGGAGGGGATTTATTGTTAATAATTAATATCTTATCTCTTATTACTTTCTTGCAGGGATTTTTTATCACGAGTTGTCCAGACTTAACACCTTTGGCTTTCCAATTGATATATCTTAATTTATCTTTCAGTGATCTCTCTAAATTTCCCACAGAAGTAAGTCCATCTTTATTATTGCATATTTGGGGCTATAATTTATGATTGTGAATAATTGCAGTAAAAACAGTCATCTTATGATACCCTGAAGTTACTAGAAAGTAAATGTATTTTGGGTTTCACCCAAAAAGGCTTATTTATAGAAGTACCACTTCTAATCAACATTGCAAACTGGAGTAGCTAGCCAAGGTAATTATTCAGAAAGAAAACAAAGGGCCTGAGGATTTAGCTCAGGGACACTGTTGCCTGTCTTGCAAATGCAAGGTCCTGAGTTTGATCCCCGGTACTGCAAAAAACAAAAACAAAACAAAACAAACAAACAAAAACAGAAAGAAAACAAAAAAGAGAAGAAAGAAATCAAGAGCATCCAATTTTAAAAGAAAGGAATATTATTTGATTATTATACATTGTACACATGTATCGAATTACCATAATTAGTTGTGGTAATAATTATATAATTAACACATAAAAATGTGCAAATATTATATCTTAATCTTAAAATCCTTCATAACTATGTTAAAAATTGAAGTCATATTTTAATAAAAATCAAAAAGAGGCAAAACTATCTCTAATTGCAGCTAACATGGTCTTGCACATAGAAATACTAAGCCACTAACATACTATTAGAACTAATGAATGATTTCTGAAAGGTTGCAGTATAGAAGCTCAACATACAAAAATCAATTCTATTTCTACATATTAGCTACAAACAACTTGATAAAATAAAGTAATTATATTTACAACAGCATGAAAACAAGAATATATTTAGGAGTAAATTTAACAAAAGTGCAAAACTTGCAATATGAAGTGTCAACATTGTTGAAAGAAATTAAACATATATAAATGGAAAAACATCTCATGTTCATGGATCTGAAGACTTAAAACTGTCACATGACAGTATTCCAAAATTAATCTATGGATTCATTACAATCACTATGAAAATTATAGTACCTTTTTGTTTGAAGAATTTTATAAGCTGATCCTAAAACTTATGAAAATAAGGGTCTCCAAAGAGCCAAAACAATTTTGAAAAGAAAAACAAACTTGGAAGATTCACAATTCCTGGCCACAGGAATTACTTCATTACTTTTGGGTTTTTAAGATCATAAAAAGATTTAATAAAATCTTTAAAAAGAGCTAATATAAAGCCTTATTAAGATTCAACAGAGAGTAAGAAATACATTAAGCAAAGATCATAGATTTAAGTGATATATCTTTTTAACTTTCATATTAAAAGTCAGTAGACATGAAACTACTATGATATCACTGTTAAATAATCTGGCTATTATATGAGATATGTGATTGACCATGAATGTTAATTTTACTTATCTTCCTCGTTCTGCTATCTTTTCCCTTCCTCATCTTTACATGATTAAAAAAGGGCAACTTTTCCCATTTCGAAAAGGACTATTTTTTATTTCAGGATGTATGAGTACAGTAGTTGCACAGTCTTAACATCATGCATGTTAATACAGGTCACTTGTTCTAAAGGTTTACTAAAAGTTTTGTAGAGATGTCTGATATAACCCAATTTATGTTGCTATCCTGATTTTACTATATTAGTTGAAAGAGTTCATAAAAGATAACAATAGAAATTTGCTACTTTAGTATTCTGTTCATGTTTGTTTCTCTTTTCTGTTCTTCAGATATTTTGCCTTAAAAATTTACAAATACTGAAACTGAGAAATAACCCTATCAAAGCAATTCTGTCTGATATCCAACAACTTAAGTTCCTCAGAATTTTCAGCGTTGCCTTTAATTTCATTTCTGATCTTCCATTTGGGTAAGGTTGGTTGCTTGGGATTATAGACACAGAAAATAAGGAATTTATAATTTAATAAAGAATCAACTTTCCTTTGAAAGCAGCTAGAAACTTTTTGGATATTTAGTAATTCTTATGTTCTAATTAGCTGATTTTCTTCTTGTCATGGTATTAAAAATAATCCTAACAGCTACATAGGTAGCAATTAATATGGGTCTAGTGAATACATTAAATATTTAGAGAACTGTTACCTGAGTATGGATTAAATAAACCTGGATCATTTAAAGCATTTTGGGTGAGCACCTTGTACTTGTCCCTTGACAGCCTTTTTGGATATGGAAAGAGAATTAAATTTAGAATTAGGAAATCTAGGCCTCTGACTTAACATATGTGCTGCTGAAGCAAGTACTAGACCTTTGACTCTAAAGTTAATGATAATTATTTATTTTATCTGCAAAATTAACTTGACCATTCTTGGCTTCAACCTATTAACTGGCCTACACGATGTCTAAGATCCTGTGAGAATGTTGATATTTTGGGTATAGAGACAAGCTTCTTCCCATATGTTAACTGTTATTTGTTTAACTCCTAATGAAAACTTTAACCCAAAACCTTAACCAAGATACTTCTTTCAATTTAGAGTTTAATAAATTGAATGCATGTTAAGGTCATATGAACAGAGTTTGCCAAAAAATGTATACACACTTCAGGAAAAGAAAAATAATGAATGTCTAGAAGGTAATGGCCACCACTTTGAGCACCTTTTGTAATTGTAGAGGGCAAAGGTAACTTGTATTAGTCTCATGATGTCTCAATAAATTTAGTATTAAAATATTTATATAAGTTTTTCTTTTACTGAAGTGTGTATACATTTTTTGGTAGACTCTTTATATGTCTGCATGTGCATACATATATCTAATCTATATCTATATCTGTATCTACCTCTCTCTATATACATATATCCATGTGTATATATATACATAGAACAGTATATATATACTGTATTTAGGTTCATAAATAGCTACATACACAGAATCCATACTAGTAACTGAATTCATACTGGATAACCTATAATCATAATTATATTCTTTAATCACAACTGTCACTTAAAATACAAAAATCCCCAAAACAACTAAAATTTGATCATAACTAGAAGGTCAACATTCTGTTCATTTTTCATATGTTTACCACATTATTGGTTATATAAAAAAGTTTAAGATATTTTTCAAAACAGTGATGTTTGTAAAGGACAGCATTTTATTTTTTATTAAATAACATTAGATATGCATGCATATCAAAGAGGTTGACAGCGTATTGAAGCCAAGAATGAAAAACATAATGGGAAAACTTTACTCACCTCAAAGAAGGCTTAGTGAAACCTCTGACATATATGAAAAATTTATTTGCAGAGCTTGTCAAATGAAAACTCACCTACAGTGCATACAGTGAGGAATGAGGTGCTGATTCATTATATTTAAAAATTGTTGTCAGACTCTAACTTGCTGAGCAAAGAGGACTTGCTATAAAGTGGCAGGATTTAGGGAGCACTGGCTACATGAAACAGAGTGAAGTTCAGTGACCCAAACAATTATGTAATATATTTGAGATAGTCCTGGCTCCATATAAATTTTGTAGTTTGGATGTTATTACTGTCAAAAGTATTACACTAATGCATTTTGAATGCTACGCTTTCATTCTTATAGTTAATTCAGCAGATGTTCATAAAGTATCTACTATGTGCCCCTAGGAGCTCACTTCCTACAAGAAAAGCAGACAATTGAATACAATTAGTAAAATAAAAGAGATGTACATTGTAAGATTTGCTAATTCCAAAGAGTGGCATGTAGCTCATCCTGGAGGATCAGAGATGACTCCCTGGAAGAGATAATAGTTGATGCAAGTGCAACTATGAGTTAGCTAGGTTACCAGGGAAAGAACAAAGGGATGGTTGGTCCAACAATGAGATGGATATTTCTTCAAGGTGGAGAGATATGAAGCAGCATATGAAATATAAGATGGGAAATATAAGAAGATTAGTATTATTGAAGCTTAGTAGGTAAAGCCAAGTGGTGAGAAATGAGCCTAGAAGGGTAATCAGGGACCAGATTATCTGGGTGCCTTGTAATCTAAGGTAAAGAATTTAGTCTTTGTACTGTATGCAATGAGAAACCATTATAGTGATCTCAGTGAGGAAGTGAAGGATCTCCATTTTAGGTCACACTGTGGCAGCATGGAGGATGGATATAAGGGACAAACCAGAATTCAAAGTGAACAGCTGGAAGGTTTTCAAGAAATGAAAAAGAACTTGGACCAGGGCAGGGGTAGTAAACACAGAGAAGTAATAAATTGTTGAGAAAGTGAATTAAATATTTAAGATCTGGTATTGAGGAAACGTAGAGCACATAGAGAGTTGAAGACTCAAGATTAAAAAAAGACAAAGTGACTCCTAGGGGCCTAGTTAGAGTGAAATAATCCAACCATATAAAATATCTTTATTAAGTATTTATCAGGCTCTGTCCTAAGAGTTGGGTTTAGGTTGCTAAATGAAAGGTGCATGATCTTTTCCCTTGTGGAGCCTAGAATCTAGGGAAGGATATGGAAATTTTAACAAACACCACAATAAGTAAATACATATAAAATATTCTAAGGGCTATGAATTTGAAGAACAATAAGATGTCAGCAGAAATAAGAATTAAATTTGAGTCTCTAAGAAAGCCTTATGGGAGGAAATGGCATTTCAGCAGAAATATATAATTATGAGTACAGTCCAAGAACAGGGAAAGAGCATTCCTGCGGTGGGACTAAGGTAAGCAGGGCAGAGAAGGGCCTGAATTCTCCACAGGTGGCTGGAAAGCCAGCCTGGCTCTGTGTGGGTGGCAGAATGGCCCCAAGTGAGGCCCACGGGTGGGAGAGAGGCTATGTCCATGAAGTATTAGGGTGCATGTGAAAACAGTTACATTTTATTTTAAAGGTCATAAGAAGCTGTTAATTGGTTTTCAGCAGGAAGGTGACAAGATTAAAGCTGAAGAGATCTGAAGAATGGAAAACGATGAGTTTAAGTTTAGATTAACATGTTATTTGGGATTATATATTCCATCACAAAGTTGCGCTTAAGACATATTAGGCTCACAAGAGAGTTTTGTGCTGGTGAAAATGATTTTGAGTTATCAGTATATGAGGTATGATAAAAAACAAATACAGTGAAGAGCCAGGGTTGTAGACCAGTGATGCCATGCCTGCTGGGCAAGTACAAGGTCCTGAGTTCAATCCCCAGTACTGCAAACAAACAAACAAAAATACAGTAAAGGTTTAAATTTTAAAAAATGTATTATCTTAAAAGACACATTGCCACTAATCCCTCTCAGAACACTCCCCCTCACTTTGAACACATTTATCACTTTTTCTTGCTACTTTCTGAGGCAGATCTGGAAATTCTCTTTTGTGTCTTTAGTTGCACTGCTATGGCTGCCTTGATGTCCGGCATCAGTGCAAAACATTAACCTTTCATGGTCAGTTTGACTTTGAGGAAGAGCCAGAAGTCACACAGTGCCAGACCCAGTGAGCAAGTGGGATGAGGACACACAGTAATGTTTTTATGAGCCTGCATTCACTGTATTTATTTTTATCACACCTTGTAAAGACACTCACAAAAGAAGACTTTCAGAACTGTTTCAGAAAGTGGCAAGAACACGATAAGTATTTTGAAGTAGGGGAGAGTGTTTTGAGGCAGATTAATGGCAATGTGACTTTTATGGTAATAAATTTTTTTTTTTTGGTACCAGGGATTGAACTCGGAACCTTGCACTTGCGAGGCAGGCACCAGAACCACTGAGCTAAATCCCCAGCCCTTATAAATTTTTGAATTTAATCATTTACCATATATTTTGATCACACCTGGTATATTAATTGAAACCATATATTTTGATCACGTCTGGTATATTAATTGAAACCAGCAAGCTTGGGAAGAGCCATCTTTTCAAGTGATATTTCAGGAGACACATCAGTGTTTCAAATACAGACAGATGAAGAGGAAATTATAGAGATGGAGGACTCACATTGCTCAAAGAGAACTAGCTATATCATGGAAACCAAGCAAGTGGACTATTTCAGAAAAGGATGACTAACAGTGTCAGCAACAGAGAACAGTTTCAGTGGAATGGTAGGAACAAAAGCCAATTTTCAGTGGGCTGAGGTGGAAAGGTGTAACAAACAGCACTTGAGAGACTCTTTAGATACAGGCTTTGTGTGAGCAAAAGGTTGATTTTTTTCTATCTGGGTGCAGACAGGCTGAAATCAAGAACGACATCAGCAGTTGGCCAGAGAAGTAGCAAAATTTTTATAAGGTTTAGGGAAGTGGTGCTGGGGTAGAATGCTTGTGGTCAGGTTTCTCAGGACAGTCAGTACAGGTGTGTAGATAACATTGGTCTTCGCAGCACTGGGAAGATTACACATCCTGTCCTAAATTTTCTTAATGGGCATCTGTTCTGTTTACTGGGGACTGCATGGCCCTTTAGTGGTTTCCTGTTGTTTACTGAGGGTGGCATGTTTGCTGAGAGGGTCTCACTCCAGCCAGGCATGACAAAGATGAGGAGAGAATTTGGTAATGATGGGTATAGACCACTTTTTGAAGAAATTTGGATGGAACAGGAGGAGACAGTTTAGATAAAAACTACAGGGAATGTAGGATCTTGGAAACATTTTTTGTTGTTAATTAAAAAAAATTCAGGCATATTCACAATGATGGAAAAGAAGAATTGACCGAAGGCATGGAAGGGTGGGTGCTGGTGCACATCTTCACAGGTAATGGGAAGGAAAGGAGTCACAAGCACGGGCGGAAATCCTGGTCATAAACAGAAGCATTGAGCTTTACTCCCTAAAAATTGGAGCCAGGCCCTAAGAATGAATACAAGAAATACACAGTTCCATAGATGAGAAAACAGAGAATTCATTCAGTTAGCAAAGATTTATTTAGCTCCTATTATCTATTAGTTGGGGGAGGTTACTTTGAAATGACTTAAATT